CACACAATCTGTTTCAGATCTTTAAGATGTGGAACAAGGAGCTGTACGTCAGAGAACAGCAGGATGCTTATGAGTTCTTCACCAGCCTGGTGGACCAGCTTGATGAACACCTGAAGGTACAGCTGACACATTCACACAAACACAACCAGCTGACTGATGCTTCTGCTTTCAACAACTTCTGTTTCTCTCCTCCAGAAAATGGGTCGAGAACAAATCTTCAAAAACACATTTCAGGGAATTTTCTCAGACCAGAAGATTTGCAAAGACTGCCCACACAGGTGAGTCACAACTTAGCCACACCCCCTGAGGCTGAGCCCTGCTGTTCTCCATGTCTGACCTGATTGTGTGGCAGGTACGAGCGTGAAGAAACCTTCATGGCGCTGAACCTTGGAGTGACTTCCTGTCAGAGCTTAGAGATCTCATTAGACCAGTTTGTCAGAGGAGAGGTGCTGGAAGGCAGCAACGCTTACTACTGTGAGAAGTGCAAGGAGAAGGTGTGTTCACTACTCCACATCACTGTGTCACTACTCCACATCACTGTGTCACTGCTCCACATCACTGTGTCACTACTCCACATCACTGTGTCACTGCTCCACATCACTGTGTTCACTACTCCACATCACTGTGTCACTGCTCCACATCACTGTGTCACTGCTCCCCATCACTGTGTTCACTACTCCACATCACTGTGTTCACTACTCCACATCACTGTGTCACTACTCCACATCACTGTGTCACTACTCCACATCACTGTGTCACTACTCCACATCACTGTGTCACTACTCCACATCACTGTGTCACTACTCCACATCACTGTGTTCACTACTCCACATCACTGTGTTCACTGCTCCACATCACTGTGTCACTACTCCACATCACTGTGTCACTACTCCACATCACTGTGTTCACTACTCCACATCACTGTGTCACTGCTCCACATCATTGTGTTCACTACTCCACATCACTGTTCACTGCTCCACATCACTGTGTCACTACCATACATCACTGTGTTCACTGCTCCACATCACTGTGTTCACTGCTCCACATCACTGTGTTCACTAATCCACATCACTGTGTTCACTAATCCACATCACTGTGTTCACTACTCCACATCACTGTGTCACTACTCCACATCACTGTGTCACTACTCCACATCACTGTGTTCACTACTCCACATCACTGTGTTCACTGCTCCACATCACTGTGTCACTACTCCACATCACTGTGTCACTACTCCACATCACTGTGTTCACTACTCCACATCACTGTGTCACTGCTCACACTGTTCACACTTCATGTATTCACCTGTTGTCTCACTCTGACACACCTCATGTATTCACCTGTTGTCTCACTCTGACACACCTCATGTGTTCACCTGTTGTCTCACTCTGACACACCTCATGTTTTCACCTGTCGTCTCACTCTGACACACCTCATGTGTTCACCTGTCGTCTCACTCTGACACACCTCATGTGTTCACCTGTCGTCTCACTCTGACACACCCCATGTGTTCACCTGTCGTCTCACTCTTCACACTTCATGTGCTCACCTGTCGTCTCACTCTGACACACCTCATGTGTTCACCTGTCGTCTCACTCTGACACACCTCATGTGTTCACCTGTCGTCTCACTCTTCACACTTCATGTGCTCACCTGTCGTCTCACTCTGACACACCTCATGTGCTCACCTGTCATCTCACTCTGACACACCTCATGTGTTCACCTGTCGTCTCACTCTTCACACTTCATGTGTTCACCTGTCGTCTCACTCTTCACACTTCATGTGTTCACCTGTCGTCTGCACAGAGAACCACAGTGAAGAGGACCTGCATCAAGTCCCTGCCCAGTGTGCTGTGTATCCACCTCATGCGTTTTGGCTTCGACTGGGAGAGTGGACGGTCCATCAAATATGACGAGCAGATCAGAGTACGTCCTCTCTGTGTGTAGAAGCTTGTCTCTCTGAATGATCCCTGAGCTGACAGGTGTGTTTGCTGAGCAGTTCCCCTGGGTGCTGAACATGGAGCCCTACACCGTGTCTGGGATGGCCCGTCAGGACTGCAGCGGAGAGATGGGCGAGGGCCGAGCAGACGGCTCCTCCGGAGGCTCGCCCAGGAAGAAGGTCACCATTTCAGAGAACTACGAGCTGGTGGGTGTGGTGGTGCACAGCGGTCAGGCACACGCTGGACACTACTACTCCTTCATCAAAGACAGACGGTAAGACAGGAGACAAACTGTTATTGTCCTCCTCAGTGCTGCAGATTCCCTTTAAACACACCTTCTTTACACAACAAGCTGGAGCTCAGTCATATTGGAGCAGAGTTTAAAATGTGGTAAACAGCTGCAGATGTTTGGCTCTGACAGTTAGGAATGCTCCTCTGCCTGTAGTGAACCTAAAAACAACTGATTCTTCTCTAAATCACTTCTTTACCATGACTTGTTTACAGCTGACGACACACTTTCTGTTTGTACACTGGGTGGGATTCTACCTTCAGATAGTTTCTCACAGTGGAAGCAAAATTAACCAGTTAATCCTTTTAAATAAAGATTATTTAAAAATATATCATGGCATTAAAGAGTGACACCTAAATTATATTTGAAAACACTAGCTGTGTTTCCATTGAAAATGTTCTTAAAACTTTGTCAAAATTCTGTTAATGTTGGAAAAACACAGTTTCACAACTGCAGTGTTTCCATTAAGTAAGAAATGTTATTAAAGTCACGTGAATACGTTTGTTCTCATGATAAGTCATTACAAACATGGCAGCGATGGATGTAAACACATAGCATGTTGCTACCACGACACTAGCGCTCATCATCAGAGGAGACGTCGGCGTCTTTTATCGAGGCTTTCCAGAGACAAGTCCCTACT